CCGAAGGCGCGCCGGCGAGGCGAGGCGCGGAGGCGGCGGAGGATCACGTCGCCGGCGGCGACCTAGGGCAGCGGGGCGCGGGATCGGGCCCGGGGCGCGGGCGGCGGCCGGCCGGGCCTGCGCGGTCCCGCGACGGGCTCGGGCGGGCCGCGACGGCGGCGAGTGGCGGCGTGCCACGTGGCAGCTGCGGAGTGGACGGGGGAGCGGGGCGGACGTGTCCGGCCATCACGGACGTGTCCGGTGGCGGCGGGAGGAAGAGGACTAGGGTTTCGCCTGCGAAAATGGACGGGGAGGACTTATTTATAGTTTCTGGGAGCTAGGAGAGTCCAAATGGAGCACGGTTTTCGGCCACGCGATAGTGATCGAATGGCGGAGAGCATGGAGGGGAGTTTACTGGGTTTTTGGCCACTTTGGAGGGGTGTTTGGCTGCAAGACAAAAGAGGCTTTTGCGGCTACCCGGTTAACCGTTGAAGTATCAAACGACCTCCAAATGGCACGAAACTTGACAGGCGGTCTACCGGTGCTATACCAAGGCCGCTTGGCAAACCTCGGGCCATTCCGAGAAAGTTTAAGACCCACACATGAAAATAAGGTCTGAGAGGGGCGACGAGCGCGCGCGAGAGGTCCAGACTCCGAACGGACAACGGAGAGAACCGGGAGAACCCAAACAAATGCAAGTTTTGGAAAACATGCGGATGAAATGTAGATGATGACATGGAAAAATGCAACACTCAAACAGATGACATGGCAGGGGCGGCGAATAACTGGCGGACACCTGGCGCATCGAATCCGGGGCGTTACAGTAGGCCACGGAGCGCATTCCTTTTTTATGGGATCTTGTAATTTTGTTTATCCGATGAGATTAATGAAATACTTGCTTCTCATACCATTTTTTATGTACTATGTACACTGGCATGCCCGCATACTTTTCTTTTCCCCGGCGCATGAGAGAAAATCAAACTCCCCCTCTTCCCTTCATCCGGAGCGTCTTAAGATTTTCTCGTGTCAAACAAAGTGGTTCTTTGAAAAAAAAGAATTTAGCTATTTGAGAAACGAACCGGCCAAACAAATCTTTGCGCGTGGAATGCTTCAAAGGGTCAAATTTTTGTTTCTAAATTGCCTTCACCTTTATCAACTTTACTAAAGTTTTTTTTCTGAAAGACCCAGCAAAGCGCTGGTGTCATGATATGGACGCGGCCTGGATGCCCGATGAGCACGGTGCTTCCTATCCAGACCATGGTCTACTATTTCTTTCTCACGTACGTGTACCACCTAACGCCGACAATGCAAACATATCCTTGTTTGAACGGTTCTTGCACCCCCATGGTTGTTTTTATGCCCACTGATTAAACGAAGCTGCTTGTTTTGAAAGTCGACCTCTTGTCATCATTATTAAGACTATATCAGAAACTTGAATATCTATACCCGGTCTGTTTCAAGTTGTTTAATGGTGGTAGACACGACATGGTCGTCTAGTCCTATTTTTTCCTCGATCACGTGTGTCACCTAGAAACACGCAATGTTCTTTTGAACTGTTCTTTCTTCTTGGACCCCATGGATAGCACCTGGCTCCGATGAGATGCTATATATACATACACGCGACAGCAGAGAAGAACATAACACTCTTCTGGAGATCAGACATGGGTTCGAGGATAGCTTTCTCTTGTTGTGCTCTGCTACTGGTCACACTGCTGCCTCTTTCGGCGAATGCGTCGAGCAAAGTAAGTTATGGTTCCTCCTTGTTCGCAAGACTTTAACTTCGGCTTGTACTGAAATTGTTTTTTTGGCCTTTTTGGCATATTAATTTCAGCTCTACATAGTGTACATGGGGGAGAAGAAACATGACGATCCATCTGTTGTGACCGCGTGGCACCATGACATACTAACCTCCGTACTTGGGAGGTACTAGCTAGCTAGTAAACCATATTAGTACCATGCAACAGAACTGATTGCTAATATTATGTCTTGTCTGCAACAGCAAGGATGAATCCTTGAAGTCGATGGTTTACAGTTACAAGCACGGATTCTCTGGGTTCGCGGCAATGCTCACCAAAACCCAAGCAAGGACTTTGGCAAGTGAGTGATAAGAATTTGCTGTCTTCATATGTTGTTGGCACAATTGAAAGAAAACTAATTCACATTGGATGTTGCAAATGTAGACTTTCCTGAAGTTATAAGTGTGAAACCTAACACCTACCACATGGCGCACACAACTCGGAGCTGGGACTTCCTTGGCCTTGGGCACAACAAATCACCACAACAAACTGACCTCCTACGAAAAGCGAATTACGGTGAAGATATCATTGTCGGGGTGATCGATTCAGGTTTGTAATCAAATTTCTAGTTTAAATCCAGAAGTTGTTGAAACCCAAGCCAGGCATTAGAAATGGACCGGTTGACTCCGTGCATGTTTTTGTTGCAGGCATATGGCCTGAATCACAAAGCTTTGACGACAACAGATACGGCCCTGTGCCGGCACGGTGGAAAGGCATATGCCAGACCGGAACAGCGTTCAATGCATCGAGTTGCAATAGAAAGATCATCGGCGCACGGTGGTACTCTGAGGGAATTGATGCCATGCACCTCAAGGGTGAGTACATGTCGCCTCGGGATTTCAACGGCCATGGAACTCATGTTGCCTCGACGATTGCCGGAGGAGAAGTGCAAGGTGTGAGTTATGGCGGCCTAGCCACCGGCATGGCACGTGGCGGGGCACCGCGTGCACGGCTAGCAATTTACAAGGTGTTATGGGGCCCGAACACGGCAGCCAGTGACGCGGACATCCTCGCAGCCATTGACGATGCCATACAAGATGGCGTGGATGTCCTGTCGCTCTCACTGGGACGGGGTGCCGGTCACGAGTTCCCCGGGACACTTCATGCAGTCTTGAGAGGGATCTCAGTTGTCTTCTCTGCCGGGAATGATGGTCCGGCACCACAAACGGTGACGAATGTCATGCCATGGGTGACGACAGTGGCAGCTAGCACAATGGACCGGGCCTTCCCAACCCTCATATCTCTCGGAAACAAAGAAAAGCTTGTGGTATGTACATACAAATGATGGATCTGCAAATAGTTACCTGTTCTTATATTTCTGTTTTGTTAAAAAATATAGGAAAAATGCATTACCAAATATATGTCTATTCAAAAAGAAAAGGTCCACTCTCAAAGGATAGAAACATCCCAGCTAGAGAAAAGTCGATAAAGATTACATCATTGCATATGCTAGGTACAGATTAAATAACAAATTGTTTTTTACTTTTTTGGTTGACATAACACACAGTTGACTGACCATAATCGTCTAGTTTTACTCCATTTTTGTCGAGAAATCATTTATGTTTTACATAGTCTAACATGATACGTCAGGTGTTGAACTGGCGTGCGCTGAAACATAGTCGTATAGGTTATCGTTTACCTTTCCTGAAAAAGAAAAACATACTCTCTGATTTGCCTTTGTTCTTAAACACAGGGACAATCTCTTTACTACAACTCAACTCTGAACAGCGACGGCTTCAAGGAGCTTGTTCACGCGGGAAGGTAGCGGCATAACGCACTCGGTCCACAAGTTAGATTGTTATTAGTTCCACAATTTATCAAACCATATCCAATTTAAAACTTTTGCGCAGCTGCACCGCGGAGTGGTTAGCGTCAAACAACGTGACCGGCAAGATCGTCCTGTGCTACGCACCAAGGCTGGCGCCCAGCGTGCTGCCTCGAGTAGAGCTGTCCCTCACCATCAATCGTACTGTGGGTGCCGGAGCCAAGGGCCTCATCTTTGCGCAGTACACCACGAACCTCCTGCCGATATGCAAGGGCGGCATGCCCTGTATTGTAGTAGACTACGAAATTGCACAGAGAATTGAATCATACTTGGCGATCACAGAGTAAGAACATGTCGCGTTGCCTGAAAGAGGGGGATATGTTTTCTTTCTTCCAAAACTAATTTGTGCACGTCGTCTGTCATGATAGGAGTCCAATCGTGAAGGTGTCACCTGCCATGACCGTTGTCGGAGACGGGGTGTTGTCGCCAAGGGTTGCTTCATTCTCGTCCAGAGGCCCGAGTCCTCTATTCCCAGGCATACTCAAGGTACTCCATATGTGAAATTCATATCTCACAGAAAAGATAGTTGTACTTGCGGTGCTTTTAAGCTTCTATTCTCTCGGGAATTAAGAATTGTATCTCTATGGATGTTTGAACAGCCCGACATAACTGCACCAGGCGTCGGCATCTTGGCAGCTATGCGCGGCTTCTATGTGTTAATGGATGGTACATCAATGGCATGCCCACATGTCTCTGCAGTTACCGCACTTCTTAAGTCGGTTCACCCTGACTGGTCGCCTGCTATGATCAAGTCTGCAATCGTCACCACGGGTATGTACACTGTGTAGATGGAAAGTTCTTTTGACTATTTTATCTTATACGACTACCTTGTTTCTTGGTAATGATCCCAGCATCAGCGACCGATCAATTCGGTGAGCCAATCGAAGCGGAGTCGGTGTCGAGGAAGGTGGCTGATCCCTTCGACTTCGGTAGTGGCCACATGGATCCTGACAGAGCCGCTAACCCTGGCTTGGTTTACGATGTGGATGCAAGAGAGTACAACAAGTTTTTTAATTGCACCCTTGGATCGTTCCATGGTTGCTAGTCCTACCAACTCAATCTCAATCTCCCGTCGATCGCTATTCCAGACCTCAAGGACCACGTCACGGTTCAACGCACTGTCACAAATGTGGGGGCAGTCGGAACAACTTATCATGCGGTACTTGAAGCTCCAGCAGGGGTGATCATGTCCGTGGAGCCATCTGTGATCACATTCGCCAAAGGAGGTAGCACAAGCATGACATTCAGAGTGTCGTTCGCTACAAAGCGGAGAGTGCAAGGTGGGTTTACCTTTGGGAGCTTGACATGGTCAGATGGAAATACGCACTCGGTTAGAATTCCCGTCGCAGTAAGGACTGTGATACAAGACTTTGTTGCGGATATATCTTAAATACATCAACTCAATAGTGTGTCATTGTTCATGCACTCATGTACTTGGCATCGAAAAATGTAGGGAACACTAAAAATCATTTTCTTACAATAGTATGAAATAAACATGGTAGTCCTCCATGATTATTGAGATGTATTGATCCTTTTATATGTCTATATACTAGCAAAACATTGTATGGTGGCGCCGCATGTCCAAGGGAGCACATACTTCGGGAAATTTTAATAAAAGTATGTACTTGCATCGTCTCCCCTTGGATAGTAGAGTATTTCGTCAATCCCTTGTGTCACAAGAAATTTTATCTATGAAAAAAAGCAACGAGAACAACGTGAATCACAATATAGTTACACATATTGAAATAATGCTCTAGCAACTCATTCAAAAGTCCAATCTGATGAAGAGAGATGGGCAATGTATTTCAACCCCCACCCCCATCATGTCTAGGGCCACAAGATCTTTTATTTTAATACTGTGTTGGCAGGGTTTTGAATTCAAGAGCTGTTGGCTCGGTTACCATATTGAATTCATGCTCAAGCCAACTCATCTAAAAGTCTGAACTAATGAAGAAAGATGGACAATATATTTCAACAACACACATGGACAATCATCGTCTGGAATGTGGCATGGCTTTGTACATAAAAGAGGCATAAGAAGGCTAGCAGGTCCGCAAGTGATAGGACGCAACAGCATGTGGAGATGACCAAAACAAGGGCTAGTATCACTTTACTTTGTAATTCTGCAGATGGAGGACAAAGGAAGTTCGGGACCAACTCGTGCCTAGAAATTGTGATTTCCGCACTTGTGGAACCTCTCTCCAGCGTTCCGCCCATAACGTGTGACGTATGTCACTACATTCCTTCCGCGGTACAGACAGGGTACTATGGGGAGAGCTACAAGATCAGGAGCCTGGCTTGCGTTGGCCATTTCGACCGCTAGGGTTCTTACTGGAATTAGGGATCGGGGTATGCGAGCATGGGAGGTCCTTAAAATATCTTTGTGAATGTGGCACCATTGTGAAGCAGCATGATGGAGGCTGGTGGAAGTTGCCGTTTACAGGAATACAGAGCATCGGTACAAACTGGCACAAGACATCATGGTCGTCATGTATCGAATGGAAGTCGCCGTGCGCGTGGGTCTGCCAGACCACTATATGGCATTACTTTGGACGGACCCTACCCTATACAAGCGGTAGTTATCTCACATGGCCCATATCCCCACGCGAACGAAAGGTCGGCGATTCCATGGTCAGGCGAGCTCGTCTGCTCCTATAAATTTGAAGCATAATTTTGGAGAAGTATGGTCCCTAGTTTTTATACTATTCTATGGCATAACTTAGGCGAGTGTTATTATAGGTGTTATGGTCACACTTGAGGTGTCACTAGGCTCAAATGAGTTGACTAGCTAGATACCTACAAGACTTATGAAGTGATTGTGGAAATGTTGGAAATATGAAGTTTCTAGGAAGACAAAAATCTTAATAATAAAAAGTAATAGCACAAGAAAATTGGCTTCTATGACAAAACGGCTTTATGGAAAATATAACCCGTCATATAAGTGACCACATCCATGACGGTCACAACCATAATTTAGAAAAATATAATTAGGAATTCATTGTGCATCATGATCATTGCATAAGCATCAGTTGTTTAAGGTCAATTCTAGGCGCCAGCCATGCACTAGCCGTCACATGCTGTCCCATGTAGCCGTCCGATCCTTCTATCCCATCTCGCACGAGATCTAAGAAAATAGCCATGCACATGGCGGTCGCACCTCACCGGCACGTCGCGCTGCCCGCATCTGCCCTTCCCTGTTTGCCCTTGCCATCAACCGTTGCCCCTGTGCTCGTCGTCGATGCTTGCTGCAAAAAAAGTTGCTCCGCGTCACCGTCCAGTTGGATCCTTTGAAAAATGCTGGTTCTAGCAAAACAAGACTACCATGGTAACAAAAATAAATGAAGTTTCAAGCAAAAATAATCTCTGTAGGACAAATCTGAGAAAGTCGATTATAGCAAACAAAAAAGCCAAATCCAGCAAAACACAATGCTGGTTCGAGCAAAAAAAAAAGCTCAATAGCAAAAACACTAGTAGTTGATTGTAGCAACAAGAAAAGTTAGTTCCAGCAAAAAAATAATAGTGGTTCCAGCAAAAAGCTCTCATCACCAAAACTCTGTAAACGATTGTAGCAAACAAAAAAAGGCAATTCCGGCAAAATAATACTGGTTCTAGCTCAACCCGCCGTCGGAAGCAGCTCAATCCCCGCCCTCAGATGCAGCTCCCCCATCGCCACGGTTGCAACTCCTCCTCACAAGAAGGGATTGCAACATTCCATCCAAAAATTACCGTCAGCGGATGCAACTCCGCCACCATGCGGTTCCAGCTCCGCCAAATGGGGTTGCAGCATATGAGGCATCTCCCAGTGCGCGATTGTAGGATCGAAAGTATGTCTAGAGGGGGGTGTGATTAGACTACTTGACCAAATAAAAACTTAGCCTTTTCCCAATTTTACTCTTTGGCAAATTTTAGCAAACTTAGCACAAGTCAAGCAATCTTAACACAATTCAAGCAAGCATGCAAAGAGTATATGAGCAGCGGAAAGTAAAGCATGCAACTTGCAAGAATGTAAAGGGAAGGGTTTGGAGAGTGCAAACTGTAAGGGCATATTTATCCCTAAGGTGTTTTAGTGATTGATGACAATGCTTTTGCGGACTAATCATGTGCGTTGAGCTTTTCAGAGATTCATCCTTTGGCACGAGACGATTCCCTCCCCTCGGTGTGTTTTTCAAGACGGTGCAGCTCTTTCGTTTCTATGTTGGTGGACTAGTTTCGTAGGAGTCACCGTACTATCAAGAGGGGATCCGCTTTGGTAAGGCTAGGGTGGAATCAACACGTACACATCCTTATCGCACCCGCTGAACCTTCCTGCTTCAATGGAGTACTCTTTCCCCTCTCTGTTTGCATTGTCTGGCCCCAGTGGTAGTACCGCGGGCCACATCGGTAGTACCACCCAAGCGCATCAAGCGGTAGTATCGCTCCTCAGTGGTAGTACCGCTTGGAGCCTTCCGCCGTAGTACCGTTGCGGCTCCATGCTCCTACCGCCTCGACTCGAGGACCCCTTTTCTTGTGTCGGGTTTTGCAGCACTAGCTGCGGCAGTAGAGGCGGTAGTACCGCTCACAAGCGGTAGTACCGCCCTTACCACCGCGGTAGTACCGCTCAGCGTCCAGGACCTCGCTCCTTTCCTTTGAGCGGCAGTACCGCTAGGTGAGACGGTAGTACCGCTGGCTCAGCGGTAGTACCGCCCACCCCAGCGGTAGTACCGCTCTCTGCGAGGCTGCTTGGGGGTAACGGTTGGATTGTTCCCCCCACTATATAAGGGGGTCTTCTTCCCCAAAGTTTATCTACCTCTTCCCCCAAAAAGCTCCATTGTTGCTCCAAGCTCCATTTTCGCCCGATCTCTCTCCCTAGCCAATCAAACTTGTTGATTTGCTCGGGATAGGTTGAGAAGGCCCCGATCTACACTTCCACCAAGAGAAATTTGATTCCCCCCACTAATCCCTAGCGGATCTTGTTACTCTTGGGTGTTTGAGCACCCTAGACGGTTGAGGTCACCGCGGAGCCATAGTCCATTGTAGTGAAGCTTTGTGGTGTCGTTGGGAGCCTCCAATTAAGTTGTGGAGATAGCCCTAACCTTGTTTGTAAAGGTTCGGTCACCGCCTTCAAGGGCACCAATAGTGGAATCACGGCATCTCGCATTGTGTGAGGGCGTGAGGAGAATACGGTGACCCTAGTGGCTTCTTGGGGAGCATTGTGCCTCCACACCGCTCTAAAGGAGACGTACCTCCCCTCAAAAGGAAGGAACTTCGGTAACACATTCTCGTCTCCATCGGCTCCACTCTTGGTTATCTCGTGCCTTTACTTGTGCAAGCTTTTTCTGTTGTATCCCTTGCTTGCGTGTGTACTTATTGTTGTTGCATCATATAGGTTGCTCACCTAGTTGCATATTTAGACAACCTACTTTGATGCAAAGTTTAATTTGGTAAAGAAAAGCTAAAAAATGTTAGTTGCCTATTCACCCCCCCCCCCTCTAGTCAACTTTATTGATCCTTTCAATTGGTATCAGAGCCTTGTCTCTTTATTAAGGACTTTGCCGTCCGAAGAGTATGGTTGACACCGTAGACGGTGGGGAGGAACACTCCGGTGTGAATCTGATCTCGTCTATGGGTGATGGGGGAACCACGGTGTCCCGTGAGGAATTCAATGTGGCTTTGGACACATTGAAAACCTCCATGACAACCGAGGTTGAAAGCATGTTTAATAAATTCTTAGAAGGACTTAAACTATCTACCTCGCCGATGAAAGTGGGTGATCCCACTAACAAGGTGACGGATGCTAACTCCGACAAGG